CAAGTAACCAAGGCAAAACAATTATTTAAACACTAATTCACACATAATCTTTTAGTTATACATATTTTTGGCTCAATGAGCAAATATCCTTAAGATTTATACTAATCTTTTATTAAGATAATATTTTATAATGTAATAAAATGCACACATCTTAAGCATACAACTTGATGACTTTTGAAAATACTTACACTTGTGTACCATCACCCCAATCAAGATATAGAACATTTCTGTAATCTTGGTCTCCATTCTTAAGAGGCAACCATCATCCTGATTTCTACTTCCATTAGTTTTAGCTGTTTCTAAATTTTATATGAATGAAATCATACAACATGTACTCTTTTCGGTCTGGCTTTTTTTTTTTTTTTTAGCTGTAGAATGTCTATGAATTGCAGCTATGTTAATATACATATCAATAGTTTATTTTTTATTTTGTTACCAATTAATATTAGATTTTATGCATCTACCACATTTGTTTACACATTTTCTTGTTGCAAGAAATCTGAATTGTTTCCAGCCTATTAGGAATTAAACTGCTTAGAACATGAATATGTAAATTTCTTTGTAAACATATACTTTCATTCTTAAATACTTAGGAGTAGAATTGCTGGGTCATAGATATATATTTATAAGAAACTGCCAAATAGTTTTCCAAAGTGGTTATAACATTTTATACTTCCACTAGCAATATTTAGGAGTTCTAGTTACTCTACATTCTCACCATCATTTGGTATAATTAGTCTTTAATTTTATCCTTTTTAGTGAGTGTAAAATGATATCTCATTGTGGTTTTAATTTTTATTTCTCTAATGACTTATGAGCTTCAGCACTTTTTCATGTGCTTACTGGCTATTAGTATATCTTCTTTTAAGAAGTGTCTATTCCAGACTTTTATCTATTTGGGGGAGAAGGGTATCTTTCTTATTATTGATTTGTAGGAGTTTTTAACATATTCTGGATATAACTTCTTTGTCAAGAATGTATATCACAAACATTTTCCTAGTCTATGATTATACTTTTTAATTTTATTTTCTTATCAATTTTATTCTTTGATAGCTACTGTGTTTTGAGTCCTCTTTAAAATGCATTTGCCTAACCCCAAGTTATAAAGATATTCTCCAGCATTTTCTTCTAGAAACTTTATAGCTTCAGCTTTTATGTCTAAGGCTATAATCCATCTTGAATTAATTTTTGTCTGTAGTATGAAATAGGTCTCAAATTTTTTCTTTCATAAATTTATCTAGTTGTTCTAATACTTTTGTTGCTAAAGAACTTTCCTTTCCTCAATGAATTGTCCTGATGTCTTTGTCAAAAATGAACTGTCCATATATATCACACATAGTTTCACTGGTTTTAGTTTCCGCAATAATTTAGAATGATACAGATTTGGATACAAAAATTAATTTGTACAGTGGTTCAGTGGACCACCACCATTTGTACACAGGACTTTTTGAAATAATAAAATAATTTTTACCTCCACATCTTGAACAGTCCTTGGTTGGGCCATGCATAATTTATTAAGCAGCTGAAAAATCAACTCTTCAATATAATAGAGAGACTCTTCATTAGCTGAAAGAGTAGGATGTACTTGCTCCTGAACCTTTAAAAAAAAAGGTTCTCAATTAAATTACTGGCAAAATAACAGGAACTCAAAAGTCAATGAGAATCTTATATACAATTAATAATATTTTACTAGAATGGTTATTGAAAAACAGACATAAAACACAAAATTTTTTAAAAATCTGTATTTGTTGGTCTCTGTAAATTTTTCTTAACCTACAAGAGTAGTTCGTTCTTAAAGTTTTTTGGAAACTCTGAAAAACCCAAGTAAAGTCACTGAACCTTCTCTTCCCTTCTACCAAAAAGCATATTCACATAAAATATTCTATACAATTCTGGAGGAATCATGGATACCCTGAAGTCAACTAATAAATCTACTAGAAGTCTATGCACTAGGCCATGAATCCCAGTAATAGAGCTGCCTCTGAAAAACTATACTCCTTTACAAATCGTAGAGGTCTTCTGTGAAGTAGATGTTACTCAGCTTTTACAATGGCGTACACTCCTTATTGTCACCATCTAGCTATGCTGAGCCTTTTTTGTTTCTGAATTTCCTAAAATTAGAATCTACAAATCTGTCCTAAAAAATAATCCAGTCTGACTGGATATAAGAAATACGGTAAATAATAGTGCTAGCATGTAGTAGGTGTCCTGTAAATATTTGTTGAAAGAAAGAATAAGTATCAAACGTTTTATGCCATGGTATTAAAATGATATTGTGCCACTGCCACAAAAAGTAATAGATAACTTAAATAGCCTAATAGTTAATTAAAGGTAATTAAAAAGCCTTCCCATAAAGACAACAGTATGAAGTTGACCATTTCATCTAAATTTTCAAAATTTAGCATAAAGTTTTCCTTCATATCCAGATCACATGCCCACCACGAAATCAATCATTGTCAAACAATGAGTGGCCTAAGATTTGGGGCTTTACTGTTTCTTAAGGGATCCACACCAGAACAAAATCAGGATTAAAAAAATTATTTAGCATAAAACGTACATTATAGCCTCTTATATTTTGTAAGTCTATAGGGTTTATAGTGAAGTACCCTCTTTCTTTCATTCCTAATATTAGTTATTTGTGTGTTCACTCCTTTTCCTGACCAATATCTCAGAGGTTTATTAGTTTTATTAATCTTTTCAAGAACAAACTCTTGGCTTTGTTGATTATGTTTGTTTTGTATTTTATTTATTTCTGCTTCATCTTCGTTATTTCTTCTGCTTTTAATGTTCTTTTACTAATGTCTTGGGATGGATACTTAACTCGTTATTTTCTAACCTTTCTTTTCTAATATGTATGTTTTCTCTAAGAACTACCTGTATGTTCTAAGAACTACTAAAAACCCACAGATTTTGATATGGAATATCTTTGTAATCATCCAGTTCGAAATACTGTCATCACTCAGTATCCATGGGAGATTGGTTCCAGGACCCCTGTGGATACTCAAATTCACAGATGCTCAAGTCTCTAATACAAAATAGTATAGTATTCACATATAACCAACACACATCCTCACATATACTTTAAATCATATCTAGATTACTCATAATACCTAATACAATGTAAGCAGTTGTTATACTATACTGTTGGTTCTAATTCTCTGGAGAATTCAGACTAATACATCCATGCAGGACAAAAATATTATACAGATAAACTATTTCAATTCATAAAAAATAAACTTTTATTTCTATGTACCAGCAAGAAAGCTAGCAAATAAAATTTTTAAATAGCATTTACAATAGAATAGAAAATACCATGCACCATGAGCCAAATCTTACAAAAGTACACACAATCCCTAGGGAGAAAACCAGACTCTGAGAGAAATTAAAGATGTAAATAAATGAAAAATAATACCATATTCATGAATTATCAGACTTAATATTGTAAATATATCAATTCTCCCCAGACTGACCCAGAAGTTATAAAATCACAATCAGAAACAACCAAGGTTGTTTTGCTGACAGTGACAATTTCAAAATGTATAGGGAAATGCAAAAGGCTAAGAAAATTTGTCTTTTTTTTTTTTTGACACAGAGTCTCACTCTGTTGCCTGGCTAGAATGCAGTGGTGTCACCACAGCTCACTGTAATCTTAGACTCCTGGGCTCAAGGGACTCTCCTGTCTCAACCTCCCAAGTAACTGAGACTACAGGTACATGCCACCACATCCAGCTAATTTTTGTATTTTTTGTAGAGACAGAGTCTCACTATGTTGACTCAGTCTGGTCTCCAACTCCTGGCCTCAAGCAGTCCTCCTGCCTCAGCCTCCCAAAGTGCTAGACTTACAGGCATGTGCCACTGCACCCAGCCAGTCACGTTCTTGGGTTTTACTACAATGGTATAGCAATGAAGAATGTGCTATTTGCGTAAGGATAAAGAAACAGATCAATGGAACAGAAAAGAGAATCCAGAAGCAAGCACACATATATATGGACCCTTGATTAATAAAAGTGGAACAATAGAGTATGGGGAGTGGTGGAGAGTTGTGGGGAAGCAGGGGAAATGGATGAATAGTCCTGAATAACTGAATACCCATATGGAGAAAAATCAAACTCAAACCCTACTTCACACTTTATCAAAAATCAATCCTAGCTGGATTTTAGAGCTAATAAATAGACCTAATAAAGTTCTGATAATGTAAAACAAGATAATATCCTTAAGACCTCAGGATAGGAAAAGATTTCTTAAATAGGACACAAAAATTACTATCCATAAAGGGAAGAACTGATAAATTTTACATTATAATTTAATTCGATTCAATTTAATTTTTTTTATGAGACGGGGTCTTGCTCTTGCTCAGGCTGCTCTTGAACTCCTGGCCTCGAGCAATCCGCCCACCTCAGCTTCCCAAAGATTATACGTTGTCCTTTAAAACTTAGATTCATCAAAAGACACCTTTAAAAAAGTAAAAAGGCAAGTTACACAGTTGGGGAATATATTTGTAACACATATAACAAAAGGGCTCATATCCAGAGTTTATAAGAACTCCTAAAAATTCAGTAAGAAAAAAATGATAAAAATCCCAATAGAAAAAAAAAAAATCCCAATAGAAAAAAAAAAGGGCAAAAAATATTTAAACTAGCACTTCACAAAAAAAGAAATTTAAATAGTCAATATACATTTAAAAAGTGTTCTAGCTGTTTAGTAATCAGGGAAATGCAATTTAAACCACAATGAAAACTATTACCCACTCATCAGACAACAAAACTAAAAAGTCTAATAATACCAAATGTCGATGGTTATGTGGAGAAATGGGAACACTCACACACCACTACTGGATTGAGCAATAATCAATTTTCAATAACATTTTCAATAACATTGCCATTATCTGCTAAAGTTCAAGATATGCATATCCTATAACTGAGCAATTCCAATACGGGATACATACATTCAGGAGATATATATATACCTCCTTTAGAGCTATGCAGTCCAATATAACAGACACTGGCCATATGTAGTTATTCACTGAATATCTGAAATGTAGCTCCACTGAATTGAAATGGGATGTAAGTGTAAACTATACACAAGATTTCAAAGATTTAGTACAAAAATGTCAAATATCTCAATAATTTTTACATTGACTACATGGTGAAATGATTAGATTTATTGGGTTAAATAAAATATATTATTAAAATTTACTTCACCTGTTCTTTTCCTACTTTTTTAAATGTGGCTATGAGAAACTTTTAAAACACACATGTGGTTCACATTATATTTCTATTAGACTGCTCTATAGAAATGAGTACACGTTTACCAAAAGACACACAAGAAGGTTGATAAGTAACATTATTAGTGATACTCTCCAAATCAGAAAAAAGTTGAAATATTCATCTAGAGTGGAATAGATAAATTGTGACACATTCATACAGTGGAATATACATAGCCAGAAAAAATTATGGTAGTAACGACAGCTTCATAAAATGTGGATGCATCTTCAAAATACCATTGACAAAAAGAAGTCACATAAAAAGAATACATACAATAGGATTCCAAAGTTCAAGATCAGACAAAACTAAATGATGGTGTTTAGGGACATATGCTTAGATAAGAAAACTATAAAGAAAATCAAGTCGGTGATTACCATAAAAGTTGCTGCCTTTTGGACAGTTATTTTGAGAAAAGCACTGACAAAGTGCTGTCTTCTAACCTTGGAATGGTTACACAAGTGTTCCTTAAACTGTATGTTTATCCTTTATGCATTTTCTGATTGTGTGTTACACTTCACCATAAGTAAGGTTTTAATAAGTTAGAGAATCATCTAGCAAACAGGAAATCAATGCAGGAAATTATCAGTAAGTCTGAAGTGTTCTTCTAGTATCCAACTCAATGAACAAAATTAAAATGTCAGAACACTGGAGACAAGGAGAATATCCTACAAGACAGGGGATATGGGGAAGGTAGGGGGAGGAGCACATTATATGCAAGAAGCAGACATTAGCTCCAGACTTCAACAGTAACAATAGAAGCTAAATGGCAATGATGTCCAAACTAGAATTCAAAATGCCAACAAATTATAAATCAAATGATAAAATGGAGACATTCTTAGATATAACAAGGTCGAAAATTTTATCTTCCACATATCCTTTCTCATTAAGCTTCTATAGTTTGTGCTACACTAAAACAAGGGTATAAATCAAGAAAGGGAATA